TGTAACTCGAGTCTGGCCAGCCTGCGGCTCAAGGCCAAACAGCACGCCTCGTTCAGCTACCCCGCCGTGCCCGGGCCGCCCCCCGCCGCCAACCTCAGTCCGTGCCAGTACGCCGTGGAGCGGCCTGTATGAGCGGCCGGCCGTGGATCTTCCCCGAGGGCAGGGGGGATAGCTCACGGCCTCCCCGGACTGGGGTTCTCACCACTGGCTTGCCCCCGCCCAGGGTCGGAGAGGGGTGCTTGGGCCACTGGGGGGCAGCCGGCTCAGGAGAGGGCCTTCTCCTCCCAACCCGGAGGGGTGGACTGGGCCCTACACACAGAACGCGCCCCTGGGACTAAGGCCAGGAACAGGGACCAGCTCCCCGGGGGCCAACTCACCCTTGGCCCATCCCGCCTTCTCCAGACTCTCCCACCCCCGTTTTCAAAGATAAATGAAATAAACATGCGCGGACTGCCAAAGGCCTGGTGATTCCGAGTTGCGGTTGAGCCCTCTTCCCTTCATCCTCCCCCAATGTCGGAAGGAGAACTGGAACAAGAGCACGGTGAGGGTCCGAGCATCTAGGGCTTCAATCCCACCCACCCCTCGACTCCAGGATGGGGAACTTCGAGGATTTCTGGAGCAAAGGGGTGCACGCGGCCGTGTGTGCGCGGGGCTTGGGAACCAGCCAGTTGGCTGGCCTCTGTCAAAGCTGGTGCGGCAGCGCCACCTCGTGGCCTTACGGAGGATAGACGGCAGGTGTGGTCGCCAACGCTTTCTTACAGGTGTCAATTCTGCAACTTAGGAAGCCTGTGACTTTAGATAAGTTACTCCGCCTTTCTGCACCTGTTTCTCACTGTTGCGATGAGGGGCTTGGACCTCTAACAGCAATAAAATTCTAGTCTGTAACAGACATTTATTAAGTGCCTTCCAGACCTAGGATCCTTATTGAGTGTCTGTGTGTGTGCCTCTCACACTTCCACACACCCCAGCTCCCCACCTCCTGAACAGCCCACTGCCAGCAGCTCTCTCACCACACCAGTCCCCTTGTTCTCCTAAGTCCCCCAAAATACAGCTGAAGTCTTTAATTTAAAAAAAATAGAGCAGTAAGAAGAAATATTTCTGGGTAGAAATATAAATAACTCAGTTTGGGGGACTCTTCTCAATCACTCCCAACCCAGGGCCTGCTTAGCCTTCTCCTTAAAAACAGTACCATTAAAGTAGCCCCCATTCCAGGGCTGACACTTCTTGTCAATCACAACTTCCCGCCATCTGGGGGCACACAACCCATGGGGAAACCATGCAAGTAAAACACCCAGGTCTTTCTCCCAAACCGTAGCTCAGCTCCTTAATGCTCTGGGGAAAAGGGAGTCAGGCTCAGCCTTTCTCTCCAACCCTTCACTGGCTCTTCGTCTTCGCTCTGACCTTGGGCCTGATGTAGGTTTGGCGGAAGAAATGGGCAAAAAGGATGAAATAGGTCGTATACAAGATGGACGACCAAAAGGAGTGTTCCACGGTCGTGGTGTGGCATCCCTGTTCCTGCCTCCAGATGTAAGTCAGGATGCTGACGACGGCTCCCATGACCATCTGCAGGATCTGGAGGCTGGTGATGAGCATGGGAAGAAACCTGGGGGACTTCACTTTGGCAGCCCTCAGCGTGTAGTAGGTGTACATGATGGCGTGCACGCCGAAGTTCATGGTCATGAACCAGCCTCCCGCAGGGACTCGGGTCTTGTACCCGAAGCAGGTGTACACCAGCACTGTGCTGTGGTGGTACCAGTGTATGAAGATGAGCGGCCGCTTGCGCAGGATGATGAAGGCCGTGTCTCCTGGGGATGGGGAGTCAGAGCTGAGCTGGCATACTGCGCTTCGCTGGGTGTGGGGCACAGGAGGATTCGCGGGGCGGGGCTTCGAGGCAGAGAATCTAAAGAGGGGCTTGGGTGAGAGGTGTTTTTAGGACCCAGGGAGAGGGGAAAATCCCTCTATGTGATGGCTGAGGAAGGGTACAGATCACAGGGTGCCAGAGAGACAAAGCCTTGCCACTCACCGAGTTCAATGACCTTGCTGAGAACAAAGAGGCAGGACCAGAATTTGACGATGGAATTGTCGATGAAGGGAGAGAAGCACACAGTTTGCTTTAGGCCTCCCGTAAGTATCACTGTCCCCATATAGCCCCACGTCCTCAGTGTACCCAGGATACTGAAATGGGACAGAGGAAAAAGGTGTCAGGTCATCCCCAGGTACCAGTCCACCCTTTCCCCTGGCCTGGCCAGGTCGCAAGTCCAAGCTCCACACCTTCCCACCCTTCCAGGAGAGATGGGTCACAGCTTCTGAGACCCTCGAGCCCATCTGCTAGAGCCGCAAGTAGACTTCAGGAGGGGAGCTGGGAAAATACAAGGAAATGCAGGAAGTTATAAATGAAAGCTGAGTTAGGGGTTCTTGGGATGGGGTAGGAGCCCAGGAAGAAATGAATGGAAGGGTGGAATGATTAAAGGTATAGGGGAGAAAACACAGGAAGGAGGGGCTGGGGAAGTTACTGGGAGGTCTTGGGAGAGGGTGTTAGGAGTCGAGAGTATTCGAGGTTGGAGAAATTTGTTGGAAGTACAGACTCCATGAACACCTGAGGGATGAAGTAGAGACCTGCAGGCTGGAATCTAGGGCAGAAGGAAAAGGGGGCATGTGGGACGAGCTGGAAGCTGGGAGCGGAGCTAAAGCCTAAAGAATGGGATCAGGAGAGTGCTACGAGGCAACTTAGGGGGCCCCGCGGGGGTGGATGCCAACGAGGTTTCTGGAAAGTTGTAAGGGACAGAAGGGACGTCTAAGGTCTCCCAAACAGCAGGGGATGTGTGGAGGGCATCTTACCTGAAGGCCGCAAGGCAGAAGGACCAGAGGATGAGAGGCCCCTGCAGGCTGAAGCCCTTCCGTGCCTTCATGTAGCTGTGCCCCACAAAGGTGAGCAGCAGGTAGATCAGTGCTATGAGGAATGAGGTTGCCCTGGCAGGCAGAAGGCAGAGAGGATGGGCTGTGGTGGGTGCTGGCTAGAGGCATGCCCACTCCTCTCTCCAGGCAAGTGCTGAGTTGGAGTCCCAGCTATGTGACATGGGAAAACGAACTTAACCCTGAGCTTTGTGAAGACAGCAGCGCTCCAGGCAGAGCTGTTGTACACCCAGCACCCAGCACAGGGCGGGCCTCTGTCGATGTTTCTGTGATTATTCCTCGGTGGGGATGGGGCTAGATGGCAGCTGTCTGGCCTGTGCCCAGAACCGACCCAGGGCTCTGGTGTAAGAATGTGGCAAGAGTTTCTGCCTGGTTGGGTCATAGCAAATTGGCTGGAACGCAGAGTCAGCCCACAGACAAAGCCCGAGAGCCTGGGAAAAGGCTGGAAGCATTTGCCTCCTCCTCCACCCAGGAAGGATGGAGCCTTCACTGTGAAGGGCAGGTTGTCGCCCCGCACCAGCACTAGGCAGCCAGGGGCCGGCACGCAGCCACAGGAGAGAATCGCCTAGCAGGGACTGAGAGCAAGCTCACTCCTCACCACCAGTTCTCACTACACTTTCTCCCTGGCTTCTGCCTGGTCCCAAATCCCTCCCCACATCCTCTTCTCTCAGCTTTCTCCCTCTCCACTTGAATCTCTTTGAGGTGCTTCATTGCCCGCACCTTGGACAGCGGTGTTGAGGGGCCAGGACTGGGGAGTCCGGCATCTTCGATTATCATTGCAGGCATTTAGTGTCCTTTCCCAGTCTGCCCCCTAGAGCAGTCAGCAGGATCGGGACCCTGGCATCGTTCATCCCTCTTCCCGAGTCTCACCAGTACTCTTCCAAAAAGGGCCTCATGTCCCGCAAAAGCTCGAAGTTATAGGGCTGGAACAGCTGCTCCACTTCGTATGATACATTCATGGGCGTGACCATTTCGTTCTGCAGACGCCGAGGTCCAGAGCTTGGGGAGCTGGGTGAGAGGCTGGGTTACCGAGGATGGAGTGAACCTCGGGGCGAGACGCAACAGACCCAAGGACAAAGGAACTTCTGGGCTAGGCGAGGAGGGCGTCAGATCCAGGCATGTGCGTAACCCAGCAGTCCAGCCGGCTCGCACCACCTTGGTCACTGCGGTATATATAACACAGAATTGCAAAGCCGCGGGTCGCGGTGGCGCGCCGCCCACACTCTGCGCGCGGCCGCTATCCAATCTCCACCAGACACGCCCCTGTCCCGCTTCTGGGCTGTGTTCCGCCCTCTGATTGGTCATCCGTAAGGGCACCGCCCAAGGCGCCTCTCATGCCCCGCCCCAAATCCTGTCGTAGGTCCTCATCCCGCCCACTTCCCCACCCTCTCCTCCCCCAGTGCTCCATCGTGGTGTGAGTGTCTGAGCCTTCGCGGCCTTGCGGGGTGCCCCAGCAGGTCAGCCTGACCCTGGCAATGCCTTCCGTTGCCTTTGCCTTAGTTCGTTTTAGTCCCTACCTGCCTGGTAGTGAGGAGAGAGTGGAGATGTCAGCCTCAGATGACCTCAACCAGCGATGAGGGCGTTAGTTTCCAGGTTCCTAGAGATCCTGGGACTAACCCGGTCAACGAAGAGCTTCTCCTGAAGTCCCTTCCACCGCCTAGCTTGGGGTCTGCGGTTGTGGGTGGGAAGGAGATGAATATTAATGAATGTTATTGTTGAGATTGTTGGTGCTGATGTTTGTGGTCACTTTACAGTTTCCTGAATTCCTGGTTCTCCTCTGACACCCAGTAATAACCTTGCAGAAGAAACGAGGTCACCCTCTGGGCTTCTGGGATTATTGTCTTTAGGTTTCCTGAGAAGCCTCCTTAGGAGGCAGAGATGCTCCATGACCTCCATTTTTCTCCCTAGTCTGTGCTTGTCTTATCAAGTCTATTTCTTTGCCTGTATACCCAGTCCCAAAGAAAGACTTGCTTAAAACTTTTAAGGCTGGGGACCAGCAGTTGGTATAATGGCTATGTCACTGGACTCCTATGTAGTTGACCATGGTTCGAGTCCCTGACACGGTAGCTTAAATTTAGGCCGGTCGCATGTGCATGCATGCCCAAGATCCCAGAGAGGAGAGTAGAGGAGAAGGGATTGCAGCGTGGCCATCCCCCCTGAGGGGTGATTTCTCGTTTTCTGTCTCTCTCTGTCTTTCTGGCGAGCACACACACCCTATAGCAAAAACCTCTCAAAACAAAACAAACAAACAAAAAAAACTTTCAAGGCTGGAGCCAGCTAGTGGTGTGGTGGTTAAAGTTGTTGAATCCCATATGGCCAATGGCACAGTTCAAGTCCCAGAACTGAAAAAAAGCACTGGGCAAGTGTGCATGAGTTCAGGAGAATGGAGGAGAAGGGATTGCTACATGGCCATCCCCCTAGGAGGAGCCTCTCTCTTTCTCAGTCTCTGGCCTATAAAGATAAATAAATAAAGATTTCGGGAAACAGCTGGTGATGTGGTGGTTGAGACACTGGACTCCTGGACCTGGTAGATTGTTTTCTCACTCCCTCCCACCCCATCTGGTGAGCACACACTCCCTAAAGCAAATTGAAATAATAATGATAAATAAATAAATAAAAGATTTCAAAATGTTATTTTTAGAGTTAGTTTATTTAACTCTATCTATTTATTTAAATTTGACCAGAGAGGGGAGTCAGCAGGTGGCATGGTGGTTAAGGGTGTTGGACTCCCACATGGCCTACTACAGTTCAAGTCCTGGACCTGGTGGCTTGCCTTCTCACTCCCCCCCACACACACTCACTCTGTCCCTCTGGTCAAATTTAAATAAGTAAATAAATACATACAGTTAAATAATTCTAAAAAAAAAAAAAAAAAAAAAAACCTTATCTTCTCTTTGGGAACAGCAGATGGTATAAGCTACGTAGCTGGACTTTCATGTAGTCGACAGCGGTTCAAGTCTCGGACCTGATGGCTTCAACTCACGCGGGGCACGTGTGCATGCGTGCCCAGGATCCCGAGAGGAAAATGGAGGAGAAGGGATTGCAGCGTGGCCATCCCCCCTGGGGGTGATTTCTTGCTTTCTGTCTCTCTGTCTCTATCTGTCTTACTGATGAGTGCATGCACCCTATAGCAAAAATCTCTCAAAAAAATTTTTTTGACCAGAGAGAGACAGAGTGAGTATGTGTGGGGAAGTGAGAAAGCAAGCCACCAGGTCCAAGACTCAAACCACAGGCGGCCATGTGGGAGTCCAGCACCCTTAGCCACCACGCCACCTGCTGTCCCCTCAAACTGTTTTTGAGCAATAAACCCATACTTTATTTCAACTTTTCCAAGAACTTTTTGAGTCTCCTTATACAAGTTTTGAGGGAAGTCTGAGTCCAGATGTAGATTTGCAAAGCAAGTGTTATAGGAAGTATTTAAAATTAAGATGTAGAAATACATGGTAATGGCAGTGGAGCCCATAGGCTCTGGAACCAGAGCATCCAGGTTGGAACCTGCTCTTCCTCCTGAACCTCAGCCTCTGAAGTCCTGCCTGTGCCATCTAAATGACCTGAAAGTGCATTCCTTCAGCTCTGCAGGTCGTCACCTCTCACCTGGTTACTACAGCCCCATAATCACCTCACCTGGTTGCATCACCTCCTTCTCTACTGCTTCTCTCATTAACTGCTGTAATAAGGAACGGCCCCAAATTTGGCTGATGGTTCAATTCCTGATCCCTAACCCTAGAGATACGTAGTCCCAACCATACTTTTTTTTTTAATAGATTTTTGCTATAGGCTGCGTGCACTCCCTTGAGAGACAGAGAGATAGAAAGCAATACCCCCCGGGGTGGGGGGGTGGCCAAGCTGCAGTCCCTTCTCCTCCATTCTCCTCTAGGGATTTGGGGCACACATGTACATGCACCTAGCGTGAGAAGTCACCAGGTCCAGGACTCGAACCTTGTTGACTACATGGGAGTCCAGTGATGTAACCATTATGCCATCTGCTGTCTCCCCAACCATACTTTGAAAACCACTAAGTTCTCTCCTCTTATCCAGAAGACAAGTCTAAACCCTAATTTGACCGTGCTGCTTTCCTGCTTAAAGCCCTTCAGTGGGGACCAGCAGGTGGCATGGACGTTAAGGAGTTGGATCCCACATGACCCACTTTGCAGTTCAAGTCTCGGATTCTGTGACCTGAAAAACATACTGGGCATGTGTTCACATGTGGCCAAAATGCCAGGAGGAGAATGGATTGTAGCGTGGCCATCTCCCTTGGGGAATGACTTCTCATTTTCCCTCTCTCCCTGTATCTGTTTCTCTCTGATGAGTACATTTGCACATGCATCCTATGGCAAAAGATGGGGGGGTGGGAGGTCCTTCATTGGCTCCCACTTGGTTCCTACATAGCCTGACACTGAAAGGGTGATCAACGTATGTTTGATTAATGAATGAGTAAGTGAAAGAATATAAAAATAACACCATCTAACGTTTCACCAAGATGGCCCCAAAAGACAAGAAGGAAGCCCCTGCCCTTGCACTCCCAAAGCTGAAGCCAAAGCAAAGGTTTGGAAGGCCCAGAAGGCACTGCTGAAAGGCGACTGCGGCCACAAAGAAAGACCAGCACATCACTCGCCTTCTGGAGGCCCATGACAGCGGCTCTGGGGGCAGCCCAAATACCCTGGGAAGAGCGCCCCCAGGAGGAGCGAGCTTGACCACAGCGCCATCAAGTACCCGGACCACCGAGTCTGCCATGAAGAAGACAGAAGACAACAGCATGCTGGTGGTCACTGCGGATGCCAAGGCCAGCAAGCACCAGAGCACACAGGCTGTGAAGAAGCTCTGTGATATTGACGTGGCTGGGGTCAACACCCTAATCGGGCCTGACCGAGAGCAGAAGGCATACGTGCGACTGGCTCCTGATTCTGATGCTTTGGACGTTGCCAACCAAATCCAGATAGTCTATACCGAGTACCAACTGCTCTCACACCATGATGCTCGTTCTTTCAACGAGTTTACACTTAGTTATTTTTGTGATTCTTCCTTTCTTTCTTTTTTTTTTTTTTTTTTTGTTTGGAGAGGTTTTTACTATAGGGCATGTGTGCTCGCCAGAAAGACAGAGACAGAGAGACAGAAAGCGAGAAATCACCCCCCAGGGAGGATGGCCACACCGCAATCCCTTCTCCACCATTCTTCTCTCGGGATCTTGGGCACACATGCACACATGCCAGGTGTGAGATTAAGCCCCCAGGTCTGGGCCTCCAACCGCAGTCGACTACGTGGGAGTCCAGCGACATAGACATTACACCAACCACTGATCCCTATTTTTGTGATTCTTGACCAATGCTTGTTTCCTCTAGTGGTCCTTGAGCCCCATGAACTCTCAACATATTTTCCTAACACTGGCCACGTCGCAGCTACTCAGGTAACATTTGTTGCACGAATGACCAAGTGAATGAAATCCTCAGCCTGCAAGGCTACATGACACTCGGTTTCTTCAGGATGAGCACTCTAAGCTTGACCTTTGTGCTGTCATCGCTTGCTTTTTCCCCTCATGGGCCTCCTGAAGCCTCAGGACAGGGAAGAAGTGGTGAGTATGGGCTGGTATGAGCAGATAAATTGCTCAAGGCATGACTTTGGAAGTTTATGAAACACCAATCACTCTTGCCAAAAAGCTGCCTGCCATGTCAGAATTCTGAGCCCAGCTTTCCATTTCCAACTGCCTGTTGGGCATCTATCTCTACCAGTAGGTTGTGTTAGCGTCCTCAGGAAAGACACACACCAAAGGGACTAGCAGATGGCATAATGGTTATGTCACTGGACTCCCACGTAGTCGACCATGGTTCAAGTCCCGGACTCAGCAGCTTGAAACTCACACCGGGCACGTGTGCATGCATGCCCAAAATCCCGAGAGGAGAGTGGAGAAGGGATCGCAGTGTGGCCATCCCCCCCACGAGATGGTTTCTCACTTTCTACGCTCCCTATAACAAAAAATATCTCTCAAAACACACACACGCACACACACACACACACACACCCCAAATAATTTATCTTCTTCCAAAGTAGGCTGTTCTTCCCATCCACCATTTATGTAATTTCCCAGACTAGAAAATATAAATCGTGCTTTATTTCTCCCTCAGACACAAAAGTCCTACCATTTCTTATAGAGGTAGCATGGTCACCAGAGTTCTCTGTTCAAATTCTGTACCCGCCACTTACTCGCTAGGTAAACCTGGGTAACGTG